CTCAAAATGTATGTGGAGAGGAGGGGAGGGGACGGCGGCCTGGCGCTGAGTTCTAGCCAGGTTTAGCCCTTCCTCTGCCTGTGGACCTGAAGCAGGAGGGAGGCACCCGGAGAGTGAAAGGAGTGGATGGTGGCAAAGGATGATCTAAGTGTATATGAGGGGATATGAAAAGCACTGCAGCTGGAGAGAGCAGTATCTCTCTCCCACCACCGTCATCATTACGCCTCTCTCATCCTCCTTCTACTCCTGTTATCTCACAGAGAGGAGGCATGCCATATGGTTGCAAGAAGCTTCTATTCCGAATGTTTTCTCTTGCAGGGTGGGAGGGATGGCCCAGAATTCACCTCTGTCAATGCGCTCCTTTTTGACGTGCAGGGTGCAAACTTGGACCGTTAGCGTGCAGAGTCTTGTATTTGTTTCTGCGCACAAATCCTTCATGCGCCTGCAGAATTTAGAGTATCCGTATCAACAAACATGAACTCCCCCATTTTCATTTTCTTCTGCAAAGAAAAAAGGATAGGAAAGGATAAAGTCGAAGAAGGCAGGAGCACAATGGGGGCGGGGTGGGATGCTGACAAAGTCGATTATGAAGCGTTCCCAAGTTATCTCCTTGGTGCACAGCTCTCCTTGGTAATTAAGAACGTTTTGCTTTTTTACTTCCCAGAAGTTGGGTTGGTTCGGGTAGAACACTATGAATTAATTGTGTTTGACAATGGCGATGAGGGGCCAAATGCAGCATGAAGATAGACAGAAAGTCTTGGGAGGCAGAGTGAAGCTCTGAGGTCCTTGAAGGAAGCTCTGGGCAGTGAGACTGTGACGGTGCAGTGAAGTACTCTGGAGACAGTCGATTGGATGTAATCAGATGTGGCTCTATATCTGATCCTACATCTGTATGTGGATCTTAAACAAGTGATACTGTCGAGGGAGAGACAAAGAGAGATAGCACAGTGGTTAGCTGGGTACAATTTTCTTTCTTCCTGTTCTCTCCAGCTGTGACTGTGCTGCTTTTAGGCCATTTCATGGTAGGGGACCATGAAATAACAGTAAAGAGTCCCTTATTTCAGACTAAAGAGACGTGTTCTCGCTGCCACTTCTCTTCTCATGAGCAAGCACGTTAAAAATCATTCCGTCTCCCCCTACTTCTCTCAGATATGGCTGTAATAGTGCAGCGAGATCAAATGAGAAAACAACATAGTAACTCTGCGGGATGCAAAGCTTATGATGGAGTTACTGAAAGACAGCCTCATATGGATTTACTCTCAATTGACTGCTGCCAGATGTGAGAAAATCTCTGAAATGAAGCTGGGATCATGAATAGCAGCCCTGGACCAATGCCTGGCCTGGAGATTTGATTTGGGCTTTGGCACCACACCAAGCGGAGGGCACTTGATTGCTTTCACTTTGGGAATTGGGGCGCTCACACCAAACCATTAAACACTGAACGTTAAACCTAGTTCTAGCGTTTTAGCCTGCAGAGACCTGCTATCCTAGTATTCCTCCCTTCTTCTACTCCCTGCACTTGTGTAGCTCAACTCCAGGCTTGATTGTCAGGCTGCCGGGGAGCTCTAGAGGGATAGAGTTGTTGCCAGAAGAAGATGTTCCAATTCCTCTGGGAGCTTTTTTCGCTTCGCTTCCTTCCTTTTCGCATCTGTTAAAGTGAACACCTACGGGAAATTGATTCTTGCCGGTTATTTGTACTGTTTATTTTCTAGTGGAGCTCCCTGATGAGATGTGGAAGCCGCGACATATTTATTGTTTCTAGCAAAAAAAACCCCCCAAAAAACGGAGAATGCTTGCCAAGTATTTTTCTTTTTTTGGGTAAGGTTGGCATTGGTGGTCAGAGGAAAAAGGAGGAGGATAAGAAGGGAGAGTGAGGGTTAGGATAGGCAGACAGAGAGGAGAAAACTTGGGATGACAGACCCATCACAAGAAGAAGAATAAGGGGACACATGTGAGGAAGTTTTGTCCCGGCTAGAGCTGTTGCAAACTTTTGGGACTTGGGATTTTTCCCCTCCACTGGGTCTCTGTAATGGCTGCCGTTTTGGATTTAGTCAGCAGGCACCGAGTTGGCCAGAGATGCTAACTCTGATCTGCCTCACACACAGTTGGGGAGATGGGATAAAGGCTTCAGAATGAGATATAGTGAGACAGTGCAGCGCCACAGCCCAGCTCTCCTTTAGGACACTTCTGGCTCCAGTGACTTCCATTATATCCCGGTGTGACTAAAATACTGATTTGTGATAGCGAATGCGGGCGATTAGCTCTCTTATTTTTACTTCTGTCCACATATTAAGGTAATAACGCGTTGAGATTTGTACTTATAAGATCTGAAAGATATGAAGGTTTTCCATGCTTGGTGAGTTTTACAGAATTGATGAAACACTAAAGGCACTTGAAGAGGAGACCCACGGGGCTGATTGTTTTCCTCACTCTGGTCAAGAACCCTGAAACATGTAAAGACCCTCTGAGGCGTTGATGTAAGAAAAATCACTGGACACCAGAGGCCATAAACCCCATATTGGCAACACAGCCTGGACCATTACAGGCCATCCATTTCAGAATGAATGATCTCGGCTGTTTGCCACACACACGCACACACACACACACGAACCAGTGTGTAAGTCTGTTCAAGTATACCACTCACCCTGCATAGCAAATACACACAGAAGGATACATTAAAATACATCAATCTCTTTAGGAGTGAAAACAATAAATGTTAAAGGGACCTTCATTTATTTTTGCTTAGACACATTTTGTTGAAATGACCCAGAGCAGCTGTGTCACTGCTGAATTTGGCCTTCAGTCATTTGCTGTGTTTTAACCCTCTGAGTTTTGCTTTACATCAAGATGGGGACAACGGGAAGATGTTGCCACTTGGAGATTTGTGTCTTTTAGCAGGAGTTAGAACATTGTTAGCTTCGTATTTAGTTCTTGTCCCGAACGACTGCCGTAACCTGTCCAAGTTCTTCCAGATACCAGCATCCAGGGCAAATTATGTTCAAAGATTAAGCATCGTTTATAACACGGTTATAACTGAGGGCTCTCTGAATTTTGTCACCAGCGGGGCAAAGCTGGGAAATCAGTCAGATCGTTTCAATTTAAGAACGCGGACGACGTAGCAGCGAGAGAAGCCCCCAGCGGTTAGTGTGGGTGGAGTTTGATTTGCTGTTAGGTGGTTAGATTCTGCTTAGAGGTTTCTTAGCTTAAATCTCTCTCCATGTCCTTATCAAAGCAACAAACAGCTTTAACCCTTTGAGCTTAGCAATGTCCTCTAATCCCCATTCATTACCTAATCTAGTTACAAACAGCATCTTCCAGAGCCACTTTTCCTCTTCAGTCCGTGACGTGTGTAAGACGTTCCTTTAATGAATCCCATAATATTAACAAATAAAAGACCTTGCAGATTTTTACCCCCCAAAATGCACCCAAAAATGATCAAAGCCTGCACTTGAGATTTAATGGGTGTTTATTTGTTTATTTCTCCTGCCTACTTTCTGCAAAAGCTCTCATCAAAATGATTGGATACAGGCTCATATCAAACTATAGAAGAAAGAGAATAATAGATTCAGTTTAATGCTCAGTCTCTTTAGAGTTTCATAGCATGCACAAATCATTTCATAAGTGGGTAAGTCATTTTTTATTGATCCACTTTTTCATTCAACTTTCATCTCCCAAGCCTTTTTAATCCTGATTTGTGTCCTAACTAACCTCAGCAAAAGTGCATTCCCCGGCATGTCAGAGGAGAGCACAGAAGTCAGTTTTCCTCGAACTAGAAATGAATGCAAGGATTGTTTTGTTTCCATGAAATAAATATGCAAGCACTTCATTTATCTTGTTTGTCTGTCACATGAATACTTCATTTAGCTCTCGCAGACAAATTTTATCTTCTGAATTCATGCGTGCATGTTTTATCGTTCACAATTCCATTTCAGGAACCCCCCTAAAGGTATCTGGCCTCAAAAGCTTAATTCATGATAATTGCAATACATCTCTTATGCAAATAGTGAAGCTATTGCAGATGTTACTGTAAAGTCTTAGATTCTTATCCTTGTACTGTTTTTTTTAATAGTTTGCTAGAGTTCTGTGTGCGCTAGTTACCAATAAAAAAATTTGTCTTTGAAGTAGAAACTCAACTTCTTCTTCTTTCTTTCTTTTTAAAAAAAATAAGAATCAACCACCTTCAGCAGCACAAACACGCGGCACAAGACAGAGAGGTTGGGACATTCAGCACTCAAAGGGTTAAAGAATTGTCACTTTCATGGCATCGCATTACAAACTTGTGGCTCAAGTTCTGTGTAACGTTGGGCGAGAAATGGAGCCCACACGCTGAACAAACACAACAGTCCCTTTAACTTTTAGTGACTTTCATGGGGATTCTTTTCCTTGAGGATCCACTGATAGTCATTCTTTTCTTTTTGCTCTGTTTTCATGAGTGATTAGTCAGTACAAGTTCACATTCAGCCAACAAAAGACACATGAAAGAAGCAAACGGATTCACTAGGTTGTTTACATGTGGTCAGGTTATTACGGGGTTATGTTGGGTTATTCGGGAGTTATTTCTCTGAAGAGATGCAGCCCCAGTTTAAGGTGCTTTGGATAAGGTCCTTTTGATATCTCCAAATCAATACTTCAGAGGAACGAAAACTTATAGAAGGTAATTGTTTTTTGGAATGACAATTTTTTGTCACAGTGAACAGCTTTAACTGACAACTAGATATAAAACTGAGAGGAAAAGAAAATATCTTCTGACAATACCTCATTTGCAGCGTGGCTTCCCATCACTGGAGATAAAGAAAAACTTCAAAAGAATTAGCTAATTATATATCAGTCAGTCATTTGCAGGCTTTTAAAGTCTGCACTGGGTTATAATGGACCCACAGTCGTGTGAAAAAGCCAGATCGTATTCACCCTTGATGCTTGGCACTGCACCTCTTCCAGAGTGGTGGTTAACGGTAGGTTAGGCAGTTAGATCATTAGTGGAGTTAAAGGGATTTTATTACCTTTGTCGAGTAGCCACTCGTCAACTACCCGACCAAGTCGGTATGGGATTCTTTGTCTAGCAATAGCCAGGCGCTCATTATCAAAGTTCCCTTTAAGAAATTTGGAGAAGACAAATTAAGAAAAGGTTACACAAATCTGGAAGTTGAAAGGTTAGAGGTTAGAAGGGCAACATGGCAAATGTTTAGCAAGTTATGTACTTTAAATCAGCTTTAGTTAGGACAGGAAGAACTTGTGGATGTGTTTTCGGGCTGGTTTGTTTGGTTAGACAAGTTAACAGCATTCTAGTTACCTTGAATTTTAAATGATTTTTTAAATGCACTAACAAGTTAAACAGATTTATGAATTATTTAGATATAGTATGATTACATTTGTGGAAGTGCTAAATTATAATAGCTGTCACAGAGTCACAGAATCAGCAGTCAGTAAACAACACAGTTATTACAGTATGAAATAATAAAGCAGAAAAAAAGATTTCCCATTGTTATTTCACATGAGCATGACATAATCACAGAGAATTAAAACACATTTCATGGTTGTTCCAAGGAAGACACATTTAAGTTCCTGCCGCACACAAAGCATTGCTGATGAGCAAACCTCCACCTGTGGAGCATCACTTCACTTTACATCCAGTTACTCCACTCTGACTAAAGAGAAAAAAGATTTATGAAACTGTCAGCACTGAGTTTTTCTCAGGTTTTTTTTCTTCCTTCTTATGCATTAATGGAGCACTTCTCAGTGGCACTTGGCAATTAGCATCACTTCATCAACGTGTCAAAGAAGTTTCATTGCTGCTGTGCAAACTTATTATCCCTCACTTCACTTCAATCAACCTCGGGGTCATACGCTGTACCTCTTATAGCACTGTCAACAGAGACAGAGCTGGAATTAGGGAAGACGAGGGCTGATGTGACCAGACTTGGGGTTTTAATACAGTCTAATGCGGTGGTAAAGTCAGAGGATTAATTAGGAGTTTTATGTACGTCAAACAGCAGCCTTTGCCAAAAACCTGAGAGCTATGCTAGCTAAAATGAGGTCAGGGAATCCCCTGGTGTCCTAGCAGAGGATAAAGTTCTGCGAGTGGTACCAAAAAATGAGAATCACTAAAGTATATATATATATATATATATATGGATGTAGTATATACACCAACATATAAAAGATATGACATGTAGGAATGTGTCCAAAATGCATTACTTGCTACAGTCTGAGGGGGAAAAAAAGAGTGGACATAGATTGAATTGGAGTTCATAGCAGGATACTGACAGGAGATGCTGATGGAATTATCTGCAGAGAGATGAGTCAGGGATTCAGGGAAGGTTTGGGAACAGTGTCTAAACGGTAAACACTCTAAGCTTAGAGTGCTACATCCTGCATCCTCACAAGTATACACTGATTTTGCCCCAACTCCCCCCTTAGCACCACCCTCTGTGGTGCCGCAATGATCTAAAATAGACCACCTCTCAGTTCTGCAGTACCTACATCTACTCCCCAGGGGTCTCTCTACCCACACCTGCCTCTGTAGAAATGGCTCACATAAGCAAGAGGAGATGCGTTTCCACGTGTGCATACTGTATATGAAGGGAAACAGTTGTTTGTGTGTGGGGCAGAGGGCCGAAAGATAATGAAATCTGAACAGAGAAAACGCAGGGAGAAGGAAGAAGCCTGGGATAAATGATAGCTGGCACACTGATGACGAAAATAGGAATTTTGTCTGGAATTTTGATCTTTTTAGTGACTTGAGACCCTCAAGTCATGAACCTGATCTATTTAAGCAGGTTAACATTTGGACCATCTGTGTTTTCTTTCTGAAACTGAAATTAGTCTAAATTGAAAGGAAACGCTCATGCAACAATTACACGCATGTGTTCACATTGCACTTAAGATTATCCAGGCACAGCTCTGACTTCTGGAAAACCAGTACGGCAATTAGAGTGCACATACAACCCTGGTTTTAGAAATGACACGGCCACTCTGTTGCAATCACCGAATTAGAGAAGGAGAGACAGATGCCGCTGGCAGCAGACAGGGACGAGGGGAAGATGGGACAAATGAGAGGGGTGTGGTGGTGACGGTGGGGGTTGCAGAAAAACGGCAAAATCAAAATAATAACAGAGCGAAAGCAAAATTGTGGGAGGCAGAAGTCCTTAGTGAGATGAATCAATTGTGTGCATGCGTGTTCTCCTCCTACTGCCACATCTGCCATCTCATCCACAAACCCTGACTAAATCTCCTCCCTCCTCTAACTTTCACTTCTGAATCAGCCACTTCCAGCAACACAATCCAATACAAGATCCCTTTTACCAGCCAAATAATTTGTGGATAATGATCATCCACCGGTACTTCTCCCTCTAGTGGCAGGCTTCTTCAAAAATGGGTTCACCCTCCTCATCTTCTGTGTCCTCTCCATGAAAATGTTCCTTTCCTTTCTTGTTTCCATCATTCTCTAATCCCTTTCCTTTGTCTTACTCACTTATCCATTTCCTCGTGCTTGCTCCTTTCCATCTAACTGCTCTTCTTCTCTGCTTGTCCTTCCCTTATTCTCAAACAATCCTTCAGCCACACTTGGCGCTGTCCTTTTTCTCACCTCCCCTTGCCAAAACTAATTTTGATGTCTTTGTTTGCTAATAACTTCCATGCCCTATTCTTCCCTTGCACCTATATCCCTTCTTTTCATCTCCCGTTTCCCTCGTTCTTTATAAATTCTTCCTCAGCTATTTTTCTGTTCTTTCTCCTTCTATTCGCTATGCACAGCTGTCATTTCTTGTCCATCCAAGCTCACTGTTACTTCTCCCCTTTTCTCACATATCTCTCACTTGCCCCGTTAATCCCCCTGCCTTTGTTTTGTTTTATTTACCTTCACTCAATTTTACCTCTGTATTCTTCATCTCCCCACGACGCAGCAAGTTTATTACTAGGATATTAGATGTAGTACACAGGCACTTCCACACAGTCTAAGTGTGTGGCAGGCAAAGTAATAAATGCTCAGAGTGTAGAGTGTGTACTGTATGTAAATGTGTGTATCCTTCCCTGGTGATCAGCAGTGAGTGACAACATCCTCATCAACAACCAAAGACAGCAGAGAAATCAACAAGGAGGCTTCTTACCTAACCACTTGAAACAAAAACAAAAAAAGAGGGACAAGAGGAAGAAAACAGGATCTGATGGAAACCACAACAAAGAAAATTTGACTATAAATTTAATTTTAGCAAAACATATGTGCAGTGGCAAGGGAAAAAGTGGCACAACGTCCTGTTGGACAGGTTTTTTTTAATGTCCTCTACACTGCAATTTCTAAAACCCAAATTCCTCTGTGTGCTGCTTGTGTGTTTGCATCTGTTTGTATTCGGATCCTTAGAGAAATAAGTCATTCTGTGTGAAACAGTGACGCTTCTCCCTTCTCGCTCCTCGCTCCTACCAGCTGAAGCCTGCTCTGCATAAGAATGGGGAGGGGGGGATAGATTAAACAGCTGGGCCCTTCTCCTCTCCTTCTCCACTATTATCGCGCTCACTCCATTCCCAGGACTGTTCTCTTCGCTTGATATGAAAGATGGAGGAACAATGCTCTCGTACCTGGTGCTCAAGTAAAATCTGATATACAAGAGAGGGAGAGAGTGATAAACTAGTAAACCAATCAGTGGTTCTATTACTTTGAGGGATGTATTTTTTTCCTTTTAAAGCCAATGTTCACCAATGGAAAGCAGTGTATCAGATATAAGGAAATATTCCCTTAAAGGGTCCACACACTTATGCAAGGAATACAGTTTAACAATATAATAGCCCTGATGCATCATGAAAGTCTTTGATGCACTCAAAGACTTTCATGATGCATCATGATCTTTGTTCATACTAGGACCAGAAGTGAGGCTCTATGAATGGATTTGTTATTGTTGACTTCTATGTTAAATAATAATGTTTAGCAGACACAGCTCTGCATTTATGTCAAATATGAGCCTAAGCCTATACTTCATGCTTCTTCATGTTTAATAACTGTACAAGGTGACATATTTGTAAGTCTTGTATTCATAAGGCATATGACATATGGAATAAAAACCTGTGTATTTTAATCATGGGTGCAATCACATCCCAGGGTGAGCAGCACAGCCTAGCAGACTGTGCATGTCAACATTAGCGGCTGGACCACAACGCTTATGTTTGTATGTCTGCAGAGCTGAGCTGAAGGTGTCACCCGAGTCTCAAGTCTCATACCGTCCTCCCTGAAACACCGCTGCTGAGGACAGACACGTGTCTGTCCTCAGCCACCTGGAGCATTGGCGGGATTAAAAGCTATGATCAGACTGGTTTTGGGTAGGTATCACAGCTGTGTTGCTAGGGGCAAGGCAAGGGCACGCTGATTAACTGGCACCCTGGGGAGACACAAAGCAAGGTAGGGGAGGCAGGGGACCTGCAGAGCATGCCAGGAGTGCAGAGTGTGTCTGAGAGTGCCGGAGATTTGGATGTTTTGATAATCCAGCATATGAATCACACACTGTGTCTTTGCGTATCAGTACAAACGTCCATGTCTGTGTGATTACATGCGATTGTGTTTGTAGCAACTCTCCAAGGAGCCAACTGCATATCATGTAGCTCTGCAGGCAGCCAGATGCCCTTGTACAGGACACCCACATTGGAAATCCATCCATAAGAATGGAGATTACATTGGAGACGATTGGCCAGCAGCCATCCCGCTCTTCCTCCTCTCACAGAAACCTCTCTCCATCAAACTCGCCTCATTCTGCTTTTCATTTGGTAACTTTAGATGGATTGCTCTCTTATCCACTGGGTGTTTTCGAGAGCAGATTGGCATAAGAAACCACAGCCTTATGTACTGTAACCTCGTGCTACTAGATGCATCTCTTGTGTTGTTCTTAAATATTTCCTCCTGTTTTTTTTTCTTTTGTTTGGTTCTTTTATTAACAAATGTGATCAAATTGTGATTTTATAGCAATTCCAACAGGTGTTTGGGAAAAATGGCAAGTGATTCGGATCAAGTGTCAGTGCAGAGTCAAATGTCAGTCTATTTTTCTGGGAGATGACGTTAAAGAGTCAAAAATTGACAAAATTGACACGATAAGATGGCAGTTTTGGATCT